GCGGCATTGTTCTGCCCAGTGAATGATCATGGTCGGCGCCTGGGCTTTCGTGTGGAGGAGGAAAACGGAGGAGTAGCGGCTGTGATCGTCAACCAGAACCAGCATGTAGCGATGGCCTTGGCGGGAGCGGGTGGGAGAGGGCCCCCAAAGGTCCATATGGACAAGGTCAATTGGTGCAGGAGCAAAGGATGGGTGGCTGTGGTGAGGAGATTGTTTGAGTTTGCCGTGGATGCAGGAGGGGCATGGGGGGGCCGGGGAGGAGGGAAGGGGAGGAAGGGTGGGAGGGAGGCTGTGAAGGAGTCGTGAGGTGACAGCAGTGCGGAGAGCGGCGAAATTGGGATGGCCGAGTCGGTGATGTAGGAGAACAGCGGGGTGGGAGAGATGGTCGGAGGTGGAGGGGATTGGAACGAGGGAGGGCGGGATGAAGGAGTGGGGGGATGGTGGAGTGGGGGGGGAGGGAGGGAGATGAGGAGGGCTAGTGGAGGTACCCGCACGAGTGGTGACATGACAGAAGGGTGGCCACGGAGTGCGGAGAGTGTAGAGGCGAGTGCGGGGGCAGAGGGGTATGCGGAGGAGGAAGCGGCCGGAGGCAGTGTGGTAAAGGTCACAGTAGGTGGCATTACCAGGGTAGACCGCAGTGATACCTGCACTTTGTATTTCACGGTGGGAGAGGAGGTTGTTTCGGAGAGTGGGGATGTGGAGACCAGTTACCTTACCAGAGGGGAAGAGTGAGCAGGGGAGAGTGGAGAGGTGTGTGCATGGAATAGTGAAGCTGCTGTCAGCGCCGTGAACCTGAGTGGGAGGAGAGAGGGGTGTGAGTGTACCAGCGTCTTTGAGAGCAGTTTCAGTGGCCCCACTGTCCAGGACAAAGTCCAGAGTGGGTGAGGAGGAGGAAGGCACGGAGTACTGGAAAGTGGTTTCATTAATGGTGGACGGGTACATGGAAGGAAGAGAGGGTGAGATAGCAATGTTGCCAAGAAAGTTCTCCTGAGTGAGAGGGGTGGCAGTGCCACTGGGGGGGGTTGGAGTACCCCAAAGGGGAGCCGGTGAGGCCTGAGCGGCCATGGCTGCGGTGCCGAAGTTTAGCTGCTGCTGCTGCCAGGGAGGAGGGCTAGGTCCCCACTGGGGCTGGGGTCCTGATCCCCATGGGTGCTGCTGCGGCTGCGGCTGCTGCTGCTGCTGCGGCTGTGGATAAAACAGCTGCTGTAGCTGCTGGTGCTGCTGCTGCTGCTGCTGCTGCTGCTGCTGCTGTAGGAGGTGCTGCTGCTGGAGGTTGAGAAAAGGTGTGGGGGGAGCAAGGAGGCGGAGGTGGGCAGGGAGGTAAGCGGGGTTGGTTTGGATGTCGGTGGGGGAGGGACGTGGGGAGATCGTTCCCCACTTTGGAGGATTGCCAGCGTTACCTCGTGCGTACCAAGCATCATCGAGGGCCTTGAAGCAGGTGGCAGGGGGATGGTTGGTCTGTCCGCAGGGTGTTCCAGCCCGGGGGCCATAGCGGCGAACATAGGTGCAGGGCGGAAGAGTACCGGGGCGACCGCCGCTGCTTGCAGGAGCTCCGCCTGTGGTGGTGGTGCCGTGCTCATCCCCAGTGGTACCGCCACGTCTGCTCGCGCTGCTGCCGCCGGGACCGCTACCTCCCTTGCCTCCACCGCCCCCCTTGCCGTTGTGCTTGCCCTGCTTGCGGGGCTGAGTAGCGTTGAGGGAGGAGGAGGAGGGTTGGGAGGAGGCGAGGTTGACGGTGCGAAGTTTGACTTCGGTGTCTATGATCCACTGTTCAACGGAGGCGAGGTCAGCCATGGGATTGGCTTCAGTAAAGGCGTGAAGGCGGGATTCATAGTCGGGAGTGAGGTTAAACAGGAGGCGATGGATTTGGAGGGGTTCGGAGAGGCCGGCTTGGCGGGCTTCGAGGCGGTCAGCTACCTCCCGCATGCGGCCGATGTAGTCGACCGCTCCGTCACAGGTAGCAAGGGTGATTGAGAAGTATTCTTGAAACAGAATGCCGACCGAGCTGATGTCGCGGCGTTCGAACATCGCATGGAGCTCTGCCCAGATGACCGAGGCCCGGAGCTCTCGAGCCTGGAAGCGGCGCATGAGAGAGTCAGGGAGAGCCCCAAGGAGAACGGTGCAGGCACGAGTGTCAGCTAGGGATGAGCAAGGGGACGAACAGCTAGGGAACGCGTTCGAGGCGAACCGAACAGGTTTTTTTTTTGGCTTAAATGGTTTGCCGAACAGTGTTCGAGGTTCGCCCGAACATGTTCGTGTTCGGGCCGCGGCTGCAATTTGCCCCGCAACGAACACGAACGTGTTCGAGGTTCGCCCGAACACGCCTTCATAGGCGAACGGCGAACACTTGTGTCGGCGGAAATCGTTCGCCGAACCGAACAGTGTTCGGTTCGGCTGTTCGAGCTGTTCGACAGAGGACGAACTCGAACCTGTTCGAGTTCGGCCTCTGCTCATCCCTAGTGTCAGCAGTTGTCCAGGCGATAAGTTTCGGGGTGTAGGTGGCCATGTCGGCTTGGTATTTGGCGACGACGGCGAGGTGAGCGTTGCGGCCGGTAACTGCCTGGTCATAGGCTTCGACTGCTGCATCGTACTCTGCTTTCTTGATAAGGTACGCACGGCGGCGTAGGATGAAGTCTGCATCGGCCGTGGCTTGGTCGGCGGTGAGTTGGAGGTCGGGTTCAAGAGGAGGATCGCCGGGAGAGGGAGGGAGAGGGGGAGTCTCGCCCGGGAGGTCAGGTTCGGTGGGGGGGAGTGCATGGGGACGGCGGAGGAGGACATCAAGGACACGGTAGGGGGGAACCCATGCGTCGGAGAGAACTCGTCGGATGCTGCCGACGAAGGAGTGCCAATTAATGGCGGATTTGTCTGCGGCGAGCTGCAGCTTATCGATGGAGGAGGTGTCAATAGGTGGAGGGAGGGGGGCGGGGGAGGGTGTGGCGGTAGCCATGGAGGACGGCTGCGGGTGGGCCCGCAGTGGTCACGGGGGGAGGTGAGGCGGCGATGAGGCCGCGGAAGGAGCGGCGCAGGCGGCGGCGGCTGGCGAGGCCGCAGCGGTGCAGGCGCGGAGGCGGCGACGAGGCCGCGGAAGGAGCGACGCGGTCGGCGGCGGCTTGGCGAGGCCGCGGCGGTGCCGGCGCGGAGGCGGCGACGAGGCCGCGAAGGGAGCGGTGCAGGCGGCGGCGGTTGGCGAGGCCGCGGCGGCGCTGGCGGGGAGGCGGCGTCGAGGCCGGGGAGAGGCGCGAGCGGCAGCGGCGGCTGGCGAGGCCGCGGAATGGCGCGGGCGGCAGCGGTCGGCGGGACCGCGACGGGGCGAGCGCGGAAGCGGCGATGGGGCAGCGGAAGGGGGGGAGGGGGGGGGGTGGTGCGGGCCTTGGCGGCGTGGGAGGCCGCGGGGCTGCGAGGAAGGGAGCGCTTGAGGAGAGGGGAAGGGCGGCAAGATGGCCGCGAAAAAAAATTGAGGAAGGAGGCCGGGGTTGTAGTGGCCTTTGAAAAGTTAATAGAGTAGGCCTAGGAATTAAGATCTCTATACCATGTGAGAACAATAGTTTGAAGAGAAGTTGATGATTGAATTGAGGAGATTGGGGGTTTACATAGGGAGTGGGTTGGATCCTAGCCTAGGTGAGCATTATTGGACCCCAACCAAGAAGTTGGGTTGGGGGATTATTGGTGGGGTCCAATAATGTTGGCCAAGTTGGAGTTGGGCCAACATTATTGGAGTGAACCAATAATTCTACCCAACCCAACCTTTGGGGTCCAATAATTGGACCAAGGTTGGGTTTCCAACCTACAAACTGGGTGACCCTTGTTTGTACACCCAAACTGAGTTTGGGTGCTTAACTCTAGCCTAACCTATAACATCTATGCAGGTTACACAAGAAGATAGATTCTAACACCCCTCGCATCCACCTATTCATGCTGGTCAAACCTAAACCCATGACTATTAGTTACAATCATTGCTGAGTGCATTTGCAAAGGGGAGTGCGCATGGGTGTGCGAGTGCGAGTTAGTCGAGCAGTCACTCACCCACCTGTTCCCCTCGCTCCAGCTCCACCCACTCTCGCACCCACCTACTCCTGCTGGTCAAACCTAACCCCATCATTCACAGACATGCCACAGTGCATGTTCCATCGCGTTGCTGTTTTTATTTCCTTGTACGTCATAGCAGTCGGTCAGTCAGTCAGTCAGTCAGTCAGTCAAACGCTCACCTGCTCGCAAGGGTCGAAACCCTTCACAGCAGAGCGCATGAGAGTACGAGTGCACTAGAGAGCGCAATTGTGAGAGCGAGTGGGAGTGTGGTTAAGCGTGGTTTCACACTCACTCAACTGTTCCCTCGGGTCGAGCCCCATAATGTTCATGGCATTGCGTGTGGATTCATACTCCATCGCGTTGCTCTTATCAGTTCAGTTCCTTGTACCTCGTAGCAGTCACTCACTCACTCAATCAATCACTCACTCACTCACCTGCTCGCTTGGGTCGAACCCCATAATGTTCATATCATTGCGTGTGGATTCATACTCCCATTGTTCATGCCTATTGCTCCTACTCCTCGCACGCCAAACCTTGTTGCTGCTCTTTGTGCGCTCACCTGCTCGCTTGGGTCGAACCCCATAATGTTCATAGCATTGCGTGTGGATTCATACTCCATCGCGTTGCTGTTCTTTCCGGGCAGCTCATAGCAGTCGCTCTGCGCCAAGTAGTAAAAATTTGCTCCCCGCTCTCCTTCCGTGGGCAGAGAAAACTTTTCTGCTTCCTGTGCAGTGTGGTGTGTGTGGACAGGGGGGAAGAGGAGGGGGGGGGGGGGGGGGGGTTGAGGGGGGTTGGGGGAGGGGGGGGGGTTTGGGGAAAGGGGAATGGAGGAGGAAGGAAAGGGGCAACGGGGAGGGAGAAGGAGGTGCATAGCTCATAGCAGTCGCCCCATGACAACCAGCTTTTAAGTCGACTCAAAGGCAGTCGCCTCACGTCAACCAGTGGAGCTCTGCTGTCTGGTAACCCTCTGTGGGTTAGAAAATGCTTCTCTGCTTCTTACGGTATGGACGAAGGAATGGAGAGGGGGGCAAGGGGAGTGGGGGAGGGAAAATAAGGGCAACAGGGAGGGAGAAGGAGGTGCACAGCTCATAACAGTCGCCCCACATCAACCAGTGGAGCTCTGCTGCCAGGTGGAGCTCTGCTGCCAGGTGGAGCTCTGCTGCCAGGTGGAGCTCTGCTGCCAGGTGGAGCTCTGCTGCCAGGTGGAGCTCTGCTGCCAGGTGGAGCTTTGCTGCCAGGTGGAGCTCTGCTGCCAGGTGGAGCTCTGCTGCCAGGTGGAGCTCTGCTGCCAGGTGGAGCTCTGCTGCCAGGTGGAGCTCTGCTGCCCGGTAACCCTCTGTGGGGTAGAAAATAATTCTCTGCTTCTTACGGTATGGTCGAACGAATGGGGAGGGGGATCTCAGACCGAAGATAATCGCATTCTTCCCCTCACTCAATCACTCACTCCCTCATAACAACTCACTCATGTACTCACTCACTCGCTCAGTCTCTCAATCACTCCCTCACCTCGGGTGTGGCACCATAGAGCAGCTGGTAAAAACAATGATAGGAGCGCTCAGGGCTACCGATCTGCACCACTCTGGACCGCTCCAGCAGGTAAGATCGAATGGCTGCCCCTGTCACCCTGCCGTCGCTGTCAAAGTGAATTTCGATGAACTTGCCAAAACGACTGGGGAGAAAGGATCGAAAAGGGGCAGAAGACGTGGGAAGGGAAACATATGTGTGGTGCTTCAGAAGGTGCCTTCGTAAACAGCAGCCTGCTCCTGTCACCCTGCCATCGCTGTCGAAGTGAATCTCAATGAACTTGCCAAACCGACTGGGGGTAGAGGGGAGGGGGGAGAGGAGGAGAAGGGGAGAATGGGCACATCGCTGTCAAAGTTATTATTTAATGAACTTGCCGAAATGACTGGGGGGGGGGGAGGATTGGGGGGGGAGGGGAAGGAAGAAGGGGTGGGGGGAGGATGGGCCACCTGCCTTGCTGTCACCCTGCCATCACTGTCGAAGTGAATCTCAATGAACTTGCCAAAGCGACTGGAGGGGGGGAGGAATGAATGGGCAGAGGCAGACAGCATGGGAAGGAAGGGAAGGGTGTGCGAATGTTGGTCTAGGGTGCATCAGCAGGGGCTTTAGCTACCGAATGGCTGCTCCTGCCACCCTGCCATCACAATGAACTTGCCGAAACGACTGAGGGGAGAGGGGTGGGGAGGGGTTGGGTTGGGGGGCCAATGTTGAGGGGGTTGTTGGAGAATAATGGGCAGTGCATGGGAAGGGAAGCGTGTGAGAATGGTTCAGAAGGGGCTTTACGAATCGACCGCCTGCACCTCTCACTCTGCCATCGCTGTCATCCTGTCACTCCTGTCACCCCTGCCACTCCTGCCACTCCTGTCACCCCTGTCAACCCTGTCACACCTGTCACTCCTGCCACTCCTGCCACCCCTGCCACCCTTGCCAACCCTGCCACCCCTGTCACCCCTGCCTGTCAGTCACCCTTGGTGCCGTACCTATTGCTACCCAGCACTATCCAATAAGACTCTACAGTGTCCGAGGATCCTGAGAGAGGTCTCACCTCGAGTTGTTATTGCGCACTGTCTTGGCATTCCCGAACGTCTCGAGCACTTGGTTGGACTGGGGTGGAGGAGGGAAGGGCGGGGACGAGGGAACTTGAGGAAGGGGGGGACGAGGGGGATGAGGGAAGGGGGGGACGAGCAGCAGAGGAGGATGAGGAGGGTGGGGGAGAAAGGAAGGAACGGGGGTTTTGGGGGGTAGGGGGAGGTTGGGGTGGGTGTGTTCGAGTGGGCGAGACTGGGAATTGATTGAGCTGAGCTGCAATGGAAAGAATACGAGGGGAGGGTGTGACCATTCCTTCTCAGTCTTGCCTATCCACAGCCCCAGCGGCAGCAGCAGCAGCCTTATTCGCCACCCCTGCCCCCGCTAGGTACTCCCTTTCTCCACACTCCCATCCCACTCACCTGCAGCACTCTCTCAACACATTGAGTTGACTCAGCAGACACAACCGCCTCCACCCCTCCCCGCCTCCCTCTCCTCCCGCCCCCCATACCCACGGCCCCTGCAGCTCCAGCAGCAGCAGCAGCAGCCTTATCCGCCACCCCTGCCCCCGCCAGGTACTCCATGACCAGCTTGGTGGTCTCTGTCTTTCCAGCGCCGCTCTCCCCACTGATTAGCACCGACTGGCTGCGCCCTGCCTCCCTCATGGACCTGCGGGAGGGAGGGTATGTGTGGTTGGGTGGGAGGGTGGGTGGGGGAGTGTGTGGATGGGAGTGTGTGTGGAGGCGTGGGTGGGGAAAGGGACGGAGAAGAGGGGATGGGGGGTAACGGCAGCAGGTTGGGACGGAGGAGGGAGGGAGGGGATTGGGGGGTAAATAGCAGCAGGGTGGGCTGGGGGCAAGGACCCGCCACCCCTGCCCCCGCCAGGTACTCCATGACCAGCTTGGTGGTCTCTGTCTTGCCGGCTCCGCTCCCCGCTCGCCCTGCCTCCCGCATGGACCTGCGGGAGCGAGAGTGTGGGAGGGTTTGTGCATGTGCAGGTGGGAGTGAGTGGAGGGCGTGGGGCGCCGCTCTTCCCACTGTTTAAAACTGACTGGCTGCACCCCGCCTCCCTCATGGACCTGTGGGGGAGGTTGTGTGGGTGCGTGGGAGTGTGTGCATGCATAGGAGTGTGCGTGTGCGTGGGAGTGTGTGCATGCATAGGAGTGTGCGTGTGCGTGGGAGTGTGTGGGCACAACAGCCACACACACCTATCCAGTTGCATGCATACACCTTACCCGCTGCACTGACGCACCTGTAGGCATGGTCGGCAATGGCGAACACGTGGGGGCTCAGCTGTCCCAGAGGTACATTACGGTACTGGCTCTTCAGCTGCGGGTGGTAGAGGCCTGGCAGGTATATGAAGGGGTTGACTGCGATGAGAATGGTGCCTGTGTAGGTCTGCAGGGGTTGGGGTAGGTTGGGGTGGGTGGGAGTATGGGAAGCATATGGAAGGGGAAAGAGAAGATCGAGGATAAGGAAATGGGATGAGTTGGTTTTTGAGCTGTGGATTGTACAGGCCTGGCAGGTATGTAAAGGGGTTGACCGCGATAAGAATGGTGCCCGTGTAGGTCTGCATGGGGGAATTGGAGGTAGGGAGGGAGTTGGGGGGATGGAGAGGGTAGACAGAGGAGTCAAAGGGAGAGGGAAACACAAGTGCAACTACGTGCACTCAACCACCTCAAGCACCGCTCACATGAACCTCGTTGCACACATATCGCCTTTTGAGGTTGTGCAGCACGGCAGGCTCGTGCAGGTGGGTGGTGCAGCAATTGAGGCATCAGCTTTTGGCAGCATTGGGCTTGAGAGCAAGCACCACCACGCAGCAAATTTGTTATACCCCAAACTACCATCTCATAAGTGGCGGTGCGCACGTACTGTCTCCTGAGGTTGTGCAGCACGCCCGGCTCGTGCAGGTGGTCCAGCACACCTTTAGATCCTACCACGGGCCATGTCATGCAGGGGTGTGGCCTGCGGGTGAGGCTCTGAAAGCACCATCACCATGAGAACAGCCAGCACTGCCACTCACGTATATGGCGTTGCGCACGTATCTCCTCCTGAGGTTGTGCAGCACGCCCGGCTCGTGCAGGTGGTCCAGCTTCACCATGTCGTCCTTGGGATCCTTCTCCTCGTCCTCCTCCCTGGGGAAGCACTCCCTCGCAGGGATGAGCACCTGTAGAGCGGCATGGGTGGGGGGGATGGGATCGGATGTGAATACCAGCTTGACCATGTCGTCCTTGGGGTCCTTCTCCTCGTCCTCCTCCCTGGGGAAGCACTCCCTCGCAGGGATGAGCACCTGTAGAGCGGCATGGGTGGGGGGGATGGGATCGGATGTGAATACCAGCTTGACCATGTCGTCCTTGGGGTCCCTCTGCTCATCGTCCTCCCTTTGGGAGCACTCCCGCGCGGGGATGAGCACCTGTAGAAAGTGCAAGGGCGAAATGTCATGCGCAAGTGCAAGGGAGAAAGGGCAAGGGCAAGCACGGCGCCTTCTCATGCGCCACCCATATCTTAGACCCTACCACATTTTTTTCCAGGGTAATTTACCCCTTGTCGTCCCCCTTGGGATCCACGAGCCTCAACGGTCTCCCCATTGTCCTGCACCGCCGTGACTTCAGCTGCAGCAAACGCCCCCTTCTCATGCGCCACCCATATCTTGGACCCATGTCTTGCATCCCCACCACTACAAATCTTTCCCCAGGGTAAATTACCCACCTTGTCGTCCCCCTTGGGATCCACGAGAATCGCCTCAACGGTCTCCCCATTGTCCTGCACCGCCGTAACCTCAGCTGCAGCGAACGCCGCCTTCTCATGCGCCACCCATATCTTAGATCCCACCACGAAGCGCGCAGCCTCCGCTCCTGCTGACGTGTCCTCCGGTGCTGTCTCTTCCCCCTGACCAGGTAAGAGATGCGAGCGGGAAGTAGGGAGAGTGGGAGAAAGGAAGGAGGGGGGTGAAGGGGGGAGGGGACGGGGAAACGGAAGAGAGGGAATTCGAAGGCTAAATCTTCTCTGGCGCAGCGCTCCTTACGGCGCGAACCGATCCTCTCAGCCACCTTGAGACTACAATATCATTCCGTTAGAGTTGATATCAGATCAGTTAAGCAATGTCCGTCTTGTTCATACAGCCATTAGAGCAGCAAGCCGACACGAATTTGCCCAGTTTCCGAGGCGTGTCTACCCATGTCTTCGATGGAAATACTGGAAAATGCGGGATTAGTGCAAGAAATGCCGGAATGAAATTCCAGCTGTCGACTTCTGAAAAGCATTCCCATTCTAGGAGCGCATGAAATCCGAATCCAGATATCAAAGGCACTGCTTTGTAGTCTTCTAAGAGACATTCCTGTCCTAGATGCGGAGACACTAATAACGGAGACACATTCAATCGTTCAGACGCCTGATTTTCCCGGGACAACCGACGGATCCTTCATCTATTCCTTGTGAGCTCCAATTAGGTCACCACTCCTGAAACGAAATCTGTCTTTTTTGTCAAAAAACAAAAACACGGAAATGTGGAAAAGCTTCTCTGCACTAGCGTTGGTCTCCTCCTTCTGACATTACCACCGATCACACCTCCAGCTTGCTCGTACCATCTGAAGTTTTCGCGACGATTTACGGCATCAAGTGGGAGAAATGAGAGCACGCCAAAGTTGAGGTTCCGGAGATAAAGCTACCAGCTGAAATAACAATGGCAAAACGGTTCTAGCAGCAGGCGAACTCTAATACTAAGAACATCACAGGCAAAACGCGACGAAGGAACCTGAGCTACTGCGCAAGAGGATCAACCACCTGGAGATATCAGCTTGGCGTCCCTAAAAATAATGGTCGGTTGACAAGACAAGTTCGCTACTGCTGGTGCAGTTTCTGCTGACTTTGCAATAAGGGCGTGTCTGAAGAGTACGTCCGATTGCGGCTGAAAGGGCCTGGTACGATTTAGAGCGGCCTTTATTAGCGCTAGAATGGTTGGGTACGGTATAGTCACAATTTCGTATTTTTTGGACCCGCCCTAACCCCTTTTTGAAATGAGCGAACAACCGAATTGATTACGCGTACACGTACATGTACACGTACACATACACGTACAAAGGGTCATCTTGAGTGACGAGAGCACTGACATGAGACGACTTCCAAGACTCAACGGTAGGCCTGTTCGCAGTCACTAGCAGACGAACGAATTCGTAGGGACCAGTTTCTGAACAACGGAACACGCCCTTCAGAAACTGAGAGAGTTTGAAGGGCTGGCGAATTCAGCCAATTGGTCAGCCCCCAAGGAGCCTGGAAGACCTCCTGCGATTGGCTGGGTCATTATTTCAGACTCGCAGAGCAGCTTATCTCGCGAAAATCAAGCAGGTATTCCAAGGCTCGGGTCGGAACACTGTTGTACAGTTCGAACATGTATATCTAGCTGTAGATTTTGTTCTACGTATAAATAGCATGCCTATCTACTCAATAAATCATGTGGGCTGCTGAAGACACAACTGCAATCATGTGCAGCATTCCCCTGCATTTGAATAAAAGGGCACCAAAGATCTTCTGGTCATAACTTCTTGTGCCGTATGAACCAGGCGAACCAGAATGAATCTTTCGTGGCACATCATGGGCCATCATGCAGCTGAGCAAACACATCCCCTTGGCCACCAGCAACCATGCTCTTATGTACCGGATAAGTCTGGGCGGTTCTTCCTTGGTAACTTCTCATGCCTCGACGTACCACATCCCGATGCCCTTTCGGATACGTGAGTGATCGTGTTGGGCTCGAGGAGGATCGCGATTCCAACGCTTGCCGCCGAGAGTCCAAGGGTGGGAGGGAGTGGCCACACGACGGGACGCGCCGAATGCTCCTATCTGCAACAACGGAACCATCCTTGTCCATTAAGTGACTCTCTGAACACGGGCCCTCCGCAAGCCCCGCATGGCTGGAAAAGGATGGCCAGAGCTCAGTATTCGATCCGCGTCTGAAAGAATAAGCTCCGAAGCTGTTGCTGCTCCTGGCGCTGCTTCTGTTCCGCCTGTTACTGCTGCTGCGGCTCCGACCCAACAACCTCTCGCCATCAATCCCTTCATCATCAGCACTCTCAAGAATTTCAAGATTTGCTAAGGATGGACTTGCACTCACACTAGCCAGAGATGAATGCATATTCTCCAGGGAGAGGCATGGACTCGAACTGGCCAGGGACGAACTTGAGCTCAGTCTGCGCTGCAGGAAGCGGGAATGCGAAGACGACGACGATGACGACGACGAAGTCCGGTTGAAGCTGCGTCCGGGACTCCCATCATAGGACCACCAACCACGGGGACTCCCACGAACGGGACTCCCACCGTGGGTGCTCGCACCACGCAGCTTCCATTCCATGGACTTGCTAACCCAGAGCTGATCCGGTGTGGCAGAGCGTGAAGCCTCTCCCAACCGGCTCTCCGTCCAGGAACGTGAGCAGAATCCGCCTGGGCCGCCGTGTGTTGCAATGTCACTCTCGTCAGGTGATTCTTCAGGTGATTCCTCAGGTGCTTCGTAGGAGATTGGGGAGCTGCCGGACCCCTTCTGCCCATGTGGCGTGTGGTTGGAGCGATTTCGAGCAGCAAAGCTACCAGGCTGGCCAGTTCGGTCAACCCGGTCAACCCGGTCAACCGGGTCAACTCGGTGAACGCGGTCAACTCGGTAAACTCGGTCAACTTGGCTAGCAGTCAAAGCAGCAGCAGCGCAAGCGCGCCTCCTCGCCTCCAACAAATCCGATGTCGACCGGCGACGACTCAACCGCCGCCGGCCAGCCAAGCCGCCCAGTCTATCAACTGCCAACAACGGAGCCCTCTCCTTCTTCCCAGCAACGCCTGCTCCTCTGCTGGTCTCCTCCCTGGTCTTCTCCTCCGCCTGTGTGGCGATCCGCAGCATGTCCACAAACTGCTGGCATCGCACCGCGTTCTGCTCGCGCTGGGACTCCAGCAGGCTCAGCTTGCTCTCAAGACACAGCATGTCCAAGTCCTCCGCTACCATGTCACCGCCGCCTCCGCTTCCTCTTGAGTTTTGAGTCGACTCATAAAGCAACTTGCTCTCAAGGCACAGCATATCCAACTTGAAGTCCTCTGCTGCAGTGCCACCGCCTCCTCCGCTTCCTTGTGTAGTTTGAGTCGACTCAAAGCTCAACTCGCGCTGGGACTCCAGAAGGTTCAGCTTGCCCTCAAGACACAGCATATCCAAGTCCTCCGCTGCAACTCCTCCGCTTTCCCTTGAGTTTGGTGTCGACTCAGAAAGCAACTTGCTCTCAAGACACGGCTTATCCAAGTCCTCCGCTGCAGTGCCACCGCCTCCTCCGCTTCCATTCCATGCAGCGATGTCATTCTCCGACCCTAATGTCCCGTGCTCCGAGCCTGAAAGGCCCGACCCTGGAACGTCCGAACCTGGAAGGTCCGACCCTGGAAGGCCCAACCCTGGAACGTCCGAACCTGAAAGGCCCGACCCTGGAAGATCCGAACTTGAAGCTGCTGCTGCTGGAGTTAGAAGGCCAGCTACTACTGTTTCTGACGCTGTTTTGCCACCGGAGACCACAGGGAACGAGTGAAGGCTGAGCAGCGATTCCCGAGGCGGTGCATGAAAGGTGGACTCGTGGTGACATGCTGAAGTTGGGTGACCAGCCGTCGCCAGCATTTTTTCGAAGATTATTAAATATCGAACCCGTCGCTAGCTGAAAGCGGAATATGAAATGGAAAATGAGCGTTTCCTCTGAAGAGGCTGCAATGGCGCGTGTCCGGATCACGAAGAGCAGCTTACAGGGACTCTTTTTGAGGGGCCTCAAAGATGATATTAGGTTCCGATGGCGCGTGTCTGGAATACGACTCGAGCAGCTCACAGGGACTCCCTACTCTCAGTCTCAGTCTGACTCTATCCCAAAATACCGAGTCCGTGAAGAAAGCGATCGCGTCACGTGACTGCTTCTAGCTCAAATAAGAGGCTTTTCTAACCAAACCAGCATTAGAAGTTGAAAGCAGCAACATCTGTGTAGCGCCGTCCCTCTGTGCTGTAATAATACTGTGGTAGACGTGCTATTGGAACGGGTGCTTTCGCCGGCAACTCTGAAGAATAGCCTAGGAAATAAGTGGTTCCCCGTCGTCCTCAAAGCGGAAGTAACTGGACGCTATCATGTGAAGTTTTCTTTTGGAGAATTCTTAAAAGATAAAAAAACACACACACAACAAAAAAAACGGCAGAGACAGATGTAACTGGACGCTACGTGAAGACACAACGAGAATTTCTGAGGCGCCTCGAGTAGAAGGAAAGAAGGGGTTCCTGATCATCCCCCCGGGGGGATTTCCGAGGGCCGCAGAGCCAGATGTAACTGGACGCTATGTGAAGCCATGCACGAGAACGGAGTTGTTGAGAATACAGAGAGAAGGAAATCCCTTTCGACCTGATTCTTGCTCGCTTGACTTGGGTTTCTTGGTGTTGAATCGAAGCTCGCCGTTGACAAACCGGAGCTGGTAGGGCAAGATGGCGGAGGCTCGGCGGGCCTGGCTGGAGCGGCGGATCGAATAACGTCGAGCACTGTTCACGCCAGGAAGCCACCAATGACCACCAGTGCTAGAGACGCCGCTTCGAGCGGAAAACACGGTGCTGGTTGACATGATTGAAGTTATGATTAAAACCTCACTTCGAGCGTTGAAAGCGGCGCGCTGAGGAGAACGGACAACGCTGTCGTCTGTCAGGATTAAAGAGCCATAAATTTGGGTGGTTGGTTACAACAAGAGCGAATCTGATCCGTTCAGTAGATTCCGTTCAGTTGGTTATGAAATGGCCTTCCCGTGAGAATCTGTCAAGGTCCTTACTGTTCAGTAGGCCATAGCCCACACAAAGGGGTTGCAGTTTGCGGGAAGTGAAAGCCTGCACGCAAACGATAGAAAACCACAAGCGAGAGCAGTTTGCGATACAGTACACGTATTTCATCGCACTCTAGACTAGTGAAGGACGAGTGTGGTGAAGGCAGCCACAAGCTAGGGGAAGGTGCATTGTTCAGAACACAAACCACGAACTCATATGGGAGGCAAGCAAAGAGCCTGGAGAAGGGGAAGGACGAAAGGGTGCACAGTGCACACAACCACGAACACGTACAGTACACAAGAGCATAGAGAATCCATGGATGGAGGGAACCTGTTGCCGATCTATCTTCTTCCGTAAGTAACGTACTCGCACCACAAAAATGTCATGGATCCGCATTACTTTGATGAGGTTGAGTACGGTGATTTCTCTTTTCAGATTTCATCGGTAGGGTAGGGTTTTAAGGGACACGGACGTGTGGTGCCTGATTTAAACCATAGGTCGGTGGGGTGGCAGGCGATGGTTGAGGGGGTGTGTGGTTTGAAGCGGTTTCTGGAAGAAGACTGCATTTTTTAGTTCGGTTCAATAAGGCTTCTCAGTCTCCCTCAGCCGAGCCGACTGTAGGCACTTGGCCAGGGCCTCGCCTGCTCGGGTGGTCCAGCGAAAACGAACAGTAGCCACCCGGATTTGTGATTGGTCGTTGAAAACCCTGCAATGAACGTTAGTGTACTGTACGGTACACTCAAGCACCACTGAACGTGCTGTGCGTGTACAGTTATCCTGACTCAAAACCCGAAACCCCAAGCCGGAAACGAGGAATGTACAGTAACGATGTGGATCGATCTTTTGCATCCTCGTCTGAAGTGGGCTCGCCATGTATTCGCAATGAAAAGTTGGGGTGCACTAATTGTATATTGACCTGTAACACAGGAAATAACTGGTATAATCAAAGGAGTTGTGTGTACCCTTGAAAAGGGAAACATTGACATAAGGGAACATTGTAGAGGTGCTGACATGGGAAAGGCACCCGTGTTGGGTTGGGTGCCATTCTAAGATGTTATCCCATATTCTACTACACATGGTAGAGCATCTTGTGCCTTGATATTTTGTTCAGCAAGAGGGTCAAGCTTTGTGCCACTGATCTAGCAAGGCTTCACTTGAAATGAACCTTGAAATGAACCTTGAGGTCAGAAGGTGACAGGATCCCTGGGGATCTTCCTTTGAGGATCCTTGAGTAAGGGTGAAAGTGTGATTTAATAATGAAGCAGGCTTACACAAATCCCGAAGAAACAATCAAGGGTTGGAATGATAGATTTATTGGGATGCAATGCAATCAGAAGGGGGACCTCCCACTGCAGCGCATAGAAGGTCGATCATTCCACGGCCCATCCGAAATAGCCGTATCGAATTCCATCCGCCATTCCAATATTCCAAGTTACCACGTCCACGTGTAACCAGCAGACTTCGCAGCGGCCTCCGCGGACTGAGCAGCAGCCACAGCGGTGGTCATCTTGGACTTCATCGTCGCAGCAGCGCTGTCCGCGCTCGCTTTCAGCGTCACAGCCTTGCTCTGCGCGATCTTCGCGTTCGAAACCGCCGCGGATTTGATCGGAATTGACGCGTTCGCGTCGCTCACGTCGTTCGTCGCCTTAACCACCGCCGCAGCCGCTGCCGCGTCCGCCTTCACCGCCGCATCCAGCGCCGCCTGCGCGTCATCAACCGCCGCCTTCTGCGCCGCAAGCGCGGAAGCTGTCGAGGTAGGGTTGTCCAGGGCATCCTGCCGCTTCGCCAGCAGCTGCTGCGCGCGATTCGCCTGGGAGATCATGTCGTCCAAAATCGTCTGGGCGAGCGTGAGCGCCGCATTCGCGTCGTTCGCCGCGGTTTGAGCAGCGGCAGCATCCGTGGCCGACAGACTAGAGTTAGCAGCATCCTTAGATGCCTGCAAGGCGGTCGACTGCGCGTCGAAGAGCTCTTCCTTCTGACCGTCAACCTGCTCGGCCGTCATGTTAACGCGCTTCTTCGCGTCTTCAACGGCCGCTTTCAGATCTGCGAGGCTCGTGCCTGACGCGGTGGTTTTGTTCAGAATCGCCACGGCAGCATCGAGCTTGTCCTGTGCAGCGGGGATGGCTGTAGCGGTTTGGTTCTTCGCCGTGATTTTCGTCGCGAGGACGGTCTTGAGACGGTTCACGAGTGGTAACGCGTCGTTGTAAGTCGCGGTGGCGTCGGCGAGGGTTTGGTTCGCGGCAAGGAGCTCCTGGGCGCGCTGCGCTGCGAGCGCGTCAGCTTTCTGGGAATCGGCAGTGGCGTTGATGGCTGCGGCACGGGTCTGACGGGCCTTGGTTACCAGAAACGGCTCCGTCTGTCCCGAGGCGTGAAGGAGGGTAGCGGCGGCCACGAGGAGCACGAGGAGACCAGCTTTCGAGATCGCCATGGTTATCGTTCGGCTAGAATTCGCTACGCAGTGTGTTTTACTTCAACAATTGGCAGCGAGCAGCTCGGGTAGCTGGGGATGGCTGCGATGGAAGAACGCTAATTGCTATGGAAGGGGAGCACGACTTCACTTGTGTTGATCAGAACAGGCGGCAACGCCTTTTTATGTGCAAGATGTACGGCGCTATGGCAAATTTCACTCCACTTCACTCAGTGGGGCTGGAATGGACGCAATTCGCCACAGGTGACATCAATCGCGACGCGGCTTGCTTATGGCGCGACGCGGTCGGTGATAGCAGGCTTCTGCTCCCCGCATTGCTTGTTACATGCCCGAAAGAGAAACTGTGGTTGACGAATTTACCGCGACACAGTAACTCCGAAACTCAAGACGCACATCTCGGCTTGACGGCTAAAAGGGTTCAGCTGGCGAAAGTGGTTCATTCTCGTACAGCTGTGCGGGTGTGGGGTTTGGTGGAAAGAACGGCGAGGCCGCACCAGCCAAGTGGGCCCATAAGGTTGCCACGCACCTGCGGCACGGTGTGTCGGCTTCCATTGTTGATGATTTTCACATCTTTGGTAGGGTAACGGATGTAATTGTTTGTTTAGTGCGTTGCAATACGTCACAAGAAGATGATGTATGTTTTGTTGTTTTCACCCGTTTTAGAGAAATGGGCACAAAGAATAACCTCTCAAAGTTCACAATAAAAACATATACATGGCGCTCCCTTACAATGGAGTGCTGAGCTGATCAAGGAGGGGACATAAAAATTCACAAAGCGCTTGTTAGTCACAAATACTCACTGCTAGGCGAGTTAGAATGTATTTTTTTTTTAACGCACCTGATAGTGCTTTGAAGCGTACCTCAGCCTAACTTGTACTTACATTTTCACAATTTCAATTCACATTACAATACTGCAAATCATTGCATAACAACGTCAAGATATTTGAGCACAATCTATATACAACGTTCTACATATAAAACACATGTATTTCATCTAACCCATCAGTAAATCGAATTCACCATCAAGGCTGCAAGCAACAGCCTAAGAAAGAAAGCATAAACAGAATAAACACAAGGTATATCTCAAGAGTCCAATCCCTGAACAGCAGCGAAAAGATGAGCAAAAAGCCAATCCTGATTCTTGGTATCTCCTGAAGGCAAACAGAAACAGCAGCAGCAGCAGCAGCAGCTGAAGCACTCCTTGCAGGGCTCCAGCACGGAATACTTTATTTGTGACACCTCCCATGCTGTGTGGCAGCTCCACCTCATGGAAACGCGCCTGTCAGAATGAGAAGAAATCAGCTAAACCATTCCCGTATCAAATGTACCAACGTCGACCAGGTGAATCTGGTGTTTCGTTTCGTAAGTCGGAGTCCCTTTCAAACCGCATCCCACGTGCGCAACGCGCAAACCAGGTCAGGAACAATCGGAAACTTCAGATCCAGCGTATCCCGTGAACGTCCCGCCTATGTGAACGAACGTCGCTTCAGATCAAAGCATCCGATGTGCATGCCTCAGAACGTCGCTTTCCGTGATTATTCCAACCACCGTCATCCGTCCATCCTCGTCGCCAACTGGTGCAACAACTGGCAGACGGGCAATCTGAAATGACGGAAATAGGGACGGGAGAGAAAACGAGCATTAGTAACGAGATTTACAACAATGCGCAGCCTGTTGGTGAGAACATAGAAATCGAGAGTACGGCAGAGATTTTTGTAGTTAATTCAACTGCAAATAAACGGAACACAAAAGCAATGAGGCAGGCTGTACTTCTACAAACCAAGCACCACGCACGAGTAGTCCTTACATTATGATTGAGCATCAACTCCGCAGCGTCTGAGACCCGCGCGTCCGCCTCGACGTAAATGGGCGTGTCTGTCATTGATTCCCCGACCTGAAAGCAGATGAGAAGACAATTCAAGTGAGGGAAATAAATGCTTCATATCAACACTAGATGCAATAAATTTGAAAAATGGTCGACAATAATAATACCCTGAACCAAGAAAACGTAAAAAAAAACTGTAGCTTAAAAAAAAACTACTGTGGTTAGGGCGAAAATGGGGTTACAAGATCCAAAACATGTAGTAAAAAATCGCACCTTCTCGCTCATTATTTTCGTGATCTGATGTCTCAGCGTGTCCACCATGGGCCCGTGGTTCAGGTTGCCGTAGTAGCACGAGAGGCGGTGAATCTTGTCCTCTTCCTGAAGTGGTGAAGAACAAATGACACCAGCAGGCACGCAATCGACACAGAAAGCAAGCACAGAAAAGATTTCGAAAATTAGAACTCGGAACCGAGTGAAGGTGCGAGTCAATGAGAGCACAGCAGAACAATAAGAAAACGATACAGTGCTAACCCAGAAAGCGACAAGGAGAAAAAATATGAAGAAAATTAGGAAGCGAGGTAGGGAAGAAGGGAGAGGGAAGGGGGTGTGTCGGGGGGAGGGGAGGGGAGGAGGGCGAGAGTGGGCAAAGAAGGAACAAGTCCGAGGGAAGTACAGAACGAACAAACAAAGCTTCCACAGAGATGAAGGACGGAAGGAGGTGGCTTACAGAAGGAAAAGGTTTCCGCTGCTTCCAGAGCAGATCCCGTTGCGACAGCACGCCAACGAGCCGACCCATTCCCACCGCATCCCCTTCGAGCGGCTCCACGACGGGCGCTCCCGTGAGACGATACCGCAGTAGTGCCTTCGCCGCGGCGCATAGCGACGTCTCTTTTCGGAAACACAACGGGTTCGGGGTCATAAACTCGCCGACTTTCCGGTCCTCCCACGCGTCGACGCTCTCGCCGATCCGCGACAAGCGTTCGTCCTCTGCGAAATCGTGGCTGTATCCGTCTTCGTCGACTAGAGGCGTATGGCTTCCGGGTAAAAGCGTTGCTGAGTCGGCGAGATACACGCTGTTGCTGACGAACCCCGTGGTCTCGCGCTCAAGGAAAGGCGAACGGCGCTCCACGTCCTGCCACGTGTCGGCCTCAGAGCTCTTCCTCGCCGCGCTTCGGCTTAGGGTTGATTCGGCGGAGGAATCGCACGAGACTCGGAGGACGGTTGGGCTGTCCTTAGAAATGCGCCGCGGAATCTTGGCGGAGAGAACTTGCGAGGGGAAACTAGAGAGACGTTGAGCGGCAACGCAACGAACGGCTTCCATGGCCAGTGGCTACGGGCGTCCGAGAAAACGGAAAAAGGAATCTAGAAAGTAGCTAGAGCTTCCTAAATCTACGGGCTTCCGTACACTCAGACGCTGAGACGAGCAGGATGCTAAGATTTGAACGTAGGTTGCGTGGATTGTCGGTCGCTGTTGGTGGCTGCAGAAGAAAGGCTTGCAAGCGTCTCGAGTGTTGGTCGATGCGGGTAGTCGATGCGGGGAGTGAAGGAGGAATACATAGCAGAGGGGTGGCCGATGCAGTCCCAGTGGGATGAGGAAAGGAGGCGAGGGACGGCGGAAGACGGGGGAGCTCAAGCGAAGCTGCGTTTGTGGGTCAAGGGGGAGGGAAGGGGGGAATCGGTGGAGGAAAGGTTGGTGACCTGAAATTGAGATTACCCTTTCGTCGCTCAGTGTATCAGACCTGATGCGGAGAGAAAAGATTTGCGTCGACTTGGCTTGAACTTGGATGTATTTGTTGTTCGACTGAAGTTCAATGAGGGAGGCCAACGCACATCTGGTAAATTCCACCCACTTTCATGACTTGGGCAACTTCATATGCATAATTCTTAGGCGCGGTCAACGTTGGACAAGAGGGGATTGGCGGAAGGGGAAGCTGGAGTTGGGGGAGCAGGCTGCCAAGCAGTTGCATCGCACGGGCAAACCGACGGAAAACCGACGAGGCGGGAAACCGACGCGTTCGATGAACGAGAATGATGGGTGATGTGCGTCGGCGGTTCGGGGAGGGGAAACTCCATCTCAAGAACACGCAGAGAGGGGGGGGCCACTGTTCCGACAGACCGCGTTGCGTGAACAAACACGCACGCCTGTCGGAAGAGGCGGTGGGGCGGAGCAGAGCCCTTTTGCGCCGAAGCTGTCCATTCACTTCGTAGCGGGTCGAAGGAAAATGATGTTGATGGCGACGGCGGCGGGGCATTGGTTGGTTTGGAGAAGCGGTTTGGGAGATGCTTTCACTTTCGCACGCAGGCTCGCATATTCGGGACAATTATGCCCGGTCGCTGGCGACACGTACCGCCATCCAGCCATGAGAGCCCACGCATCAGCGCATTCCCCGAGGCAGTTGGCGTGACAACGGCGAAAGAAACGCATCAGCTGACCTGACCTGACTGCCCAACCTGACAAAGGGTCTAGTTCTCCCATCTCCAGTCATGTGTGGTCGTGACATCCATTTTCTCGTTTCAGCCTTCCCATGCCCGAAAACACAATGAAACTCTGAAAATATGTGAAGCTTCGAAAAGATTGGAATGATGTGGTAATGTAGACCTTTTGCATGTGTATGTGTACAGTAAGGGCCCAGCCCCGCTTTAGATTTCATCGAACTGACCGAAGCTTGATATTATTGACCGCACTCATCAATCTCATGTGGGCTGTGCGTCGCAGTCATGTGTAATTCCAGGTCACATTTCCCACCTCCCGACAAAATACAACGGGTTGTCAGCTGGCAAAGCATTCTCAAAACCAGGGCAGACTGCTCCCATATCCACGGAAATCGCTGCTATGGCATCCAACCTCCTTGGAGCAGCCACCACTGGGGATCTGAGATCGTGACGTGGTAATCGCCGCTGCTCTGATTGGTGCCCCCAGACGTGACAAGTATGGACGTGAAGCCACGCAAGGTCGAGTCACCAATCAGTGATGTTGTCAGTTCGCGGGGATTCTTCGCACGAGTGAACGGCGGTGCCCTTATCCCTCGCATGTGTTAGAACAAGCAGGGTGCATATGTGTCAGCTTTTATGTAACAGTAGCTTTTATTTGTGGTTATGCGCTACACCCTGTTTCGCGCTACATGGGTACCGTTCTGTTGTCGCACAACAAAATCAGCCCTCCTGCACAAGCACTGCGGGATGTGTTTTCGTCGAACTTGGCAACCCCCGCGCGGCCTCTGCGAATTTTGGTGCTACAGACAAAGAAGAGCTGGTTTTTTATTCTACCTACTTGCCCATGCTACTCAGGATGCTAATGTTTTTTCATCTCAACCTATCATAAACTTTTGACCGTGTGGTTCACCCTCGCATCTAGTCATATATATTTTTTTTTTCCGAGTATATCCATAGCAATATGTCCCGATAACGGGCGCTGGTAGTTGCCCGTTATTGTTTGTGCGTCCCCTTATTCCCAGGAAGATGGGCGCATGGGGTTCGCACGAGCTGTCTGATAATTTTGCCCGAGAGAGAGGCTTCGTAGTAACCTCTGTGCGTACGAGCTGTTCCCCGTTCTCTTACACATGGGCGTACAAGATATGCTACCAGGTTCGGGACACAATAGCGAGTTGTGAGGCTCAACGTGGGCTTTAAGCCTTTTGATGCGGCTTCCCAGAATATTCGTCTCGGGGGCCAAGCACCCTGAATGCGGCAAGAGAACGATACCATGGTCATTGGCTATATGGGCCCTGTGGCTCAACCCGCCAGAGGACGGGTTATAGTAGACTTTTGCACCAGTACGGTTTGACGAGGTTAGTTACTTTAGAAGACGATCGTTTAAACTTTTGATATGGCTCGGTAGGGTACCTAGGATAACGAAATTCCGAATCACTGACCTCCTAGAGACGGTTATATGAAACTTTCCGAATACGTCCAAGGAACAGTTTCACTGTAGCCAGTGAATCCCGTTGCCAGTGTAGCGAGAAAGAGGGTGTATACTAAACCGGGTTTGCAATGTTGCGAGAATCTTGTAAAGGGTATAGCGATAAACCAACCAAAAATCAGTGAAGGTCAATCAGGAACGGAACAGTTTATAAGACAGTTGCTCCGCTAATCCCGCATGTCAACACGCGTCAGCACGTGTATCGTACAGTCGGTGCTCATTTCAAGAACAACAGGTAGGCGGGCGGCATTTGAGTCAAACGAGTTTTGGGCACTTCGCCACATTCGCCCTTGTCGCCACAGGCAAAAATGTGATTGTAAAACAAAATTGGGGTTTAAGTTCGTAACCAGGTAAACAATTCTGATGACAGGCAGCCGTTGTTGTTTATGGACTTGGTGACTGTACCCCGAAATCAGCACAATCACCACTCACAGGCAAAACGTTCGCGATTGACTGATTTTCTAAGGCCTTGTTCGGCTGCACAAGTTAGAGGCCGCAACCAAACAACAACCAGCCAGAAATCGAACTAACCAAGCAGATCTCCAGGTTCGGCACGCCTGCTGACTCAAGGTGACGTGTAAAAACCCCCTACGATTCGTCGGATTGCCGAACTTCTTTCCTAACCAGTTTCGCGTTGGTTTCAGGTTTGTAGATGGTTCCATGACAGACCAACAGTGCCAACCAACCAGAACAGCACAGTAAAACACGGGCAAAAGAAGCTCATTGCTAGTTGAACTACGGCCCAGTGCTGATCCTGCTCTCGAGGTGGGGTGAATGGAAGTTTGTTCATTGGGATTACTCAACAGACCGTCCACTGGCTAGAGTACTGGTCCCCCAACCTCCAACTGCCCAAAAAGCGGGTAAACTTAGGCTTGCATAATTAAAAAGAAGTCCCCTCGCCTGATTGTGGTTGTTGGGTTGTTGGGTTTCCTGATTGTGTTTTTTTTGTGGTCCTTCCCATTTTTTTTTGGTTCTCTGCAGAGCATGCCGGGGAAACCGTTCGGATTATAACGCACCTTCTGGGAATTTCGCTCCGTGGTTCCACGAAGAACGGGTTTGGTTCTTGGGGTTGTTGGGCTTCCTTTTCTCCAGTCCTGGTCGTTGTCGGTTATGTACAAGACGCGTGACATCGTACACGTTTGCGTGTCCTTTTTTACAGATGTCAACGCGGTACAGTAACCCACGTTTTTTTTGTTTGTATTCTGTTGAGGCTCGGGCCGAAGCTATTTTGTCGTTCAGATTAGTTGAGTTGTTGGTCAGAAGTGCTTGGAGGCCAAACTGCTGCCGAACAAGGCCTAAAGGCCTTGTTCGGCTGCACAAGAAAGCGGCCACAACCAAACAACAACCAGCCACAAATCGAACTAGCCAAACAGTAATCGAGGTTCGGCACGCCTGCTGACTCATGGTGAAGTGTAAGAATCCCCTACGATTGGTCGCATTGCCGAACTTCTTTCCCAACCAGTTTCGTTTTTGGTTCAGGTTTGTTGCTGGTTCCATGACAACCCAACAGTGCCAACCAACCAGAAGTGCACAGTAATTCACGGGCAAAATTATGTGCATTGCTGGTTGGTTTTTGGTTGGGTGCTGATCCTGCTCTCAACGTGGTTGGGTTTGGTTAATAGTTCATTGTGAGCTTAATGCAGAGAGCTGATTGGCTAGATCATATAATTGTGCCTTCCTGGAATTGGTTTCCTTGGTTCCACGAAGCTAGGGTTTGGTTTTTGGGGCCGTTGGGCTTCGATTTCTCCTGACCTGGTTGTTGTTGGTTGTGTGCAAAACGCGTGATCTGGGACACGTTTGCGTGTCCTTTTTCACAAATGTCAGGGTGGTACAGTAACCCACGTTTTTTTTTGTTTGTAGTCAGGTGAGGCTCGGACCGAGGCTCTTTTGTCGTTCAGACGAGAATGGTTGTTGGTCAGAGGAGCTAGGGGGCCAAAGTGCTGCCGAACAAGGCCTAATTGTGCTGAGCAAATTTTTGTGATAGGCTGAGCATCGACTGTATTTGAGGTGGCAATGGCAAGGCAAGCAAGCCAACAGAAATCCTCACCACTCAAACATTGAATCGGATCGGGGGTTCAGAAATCACGGTCCGTGCAGAAATCATGCTTCGTCGAAATATCGCGCTCCGTGCAAAAAGGCACAGTTGGACGGAATAGTGCAACACACACCTCTTACTATGTGACAGCCTGTCTGAGGCTAGTCGCAATAGTGCGACTGAGTGGCGTCGTTACGGCGAACTGCTGCGACGGGAAGGATAGTTTCTCGCGAACCATCGTCGCCGAAGTCCACGCGCACCCGTCGCCATGGAAGTAAAACTTCCACAGGAAGTACCAGCAGCACTCGCAAAACTTAGCTGCCTTCGCATTCCCGAAATAATAATAATAATAATAATAATAATAATA